CACTCAGTTCCGCGGTTTTTAGCCCCAAAACCCGAGGATGTCCCGCTATTCCCGAGGCCTGTGCCAGCTCCTTTGAGGAGCTGTTTCCTCTGGGAATAACCCCAGCCAAAATCCCGGAGAATAAAGCCCTTCTGGGGCTCTGGGAGCTCTGAAAGGCTCCTCTGTTCCGGGCTCGGCTCCCTCTGACCCTCTGGCAAAGACCAGCCGCTCCCCCTTCCCCGTTCCCGCTTGGAATCGCTCCCGGAGCTCCGCGGGGGCTCCTCGCTGCTCTCCAACGGCCTTTCCAGCCTCTGGGTGTTCTTCCAAGCCCTGCTTGCCCAGCAATTCCCCAATTTCACGGTGGACAAACGCGGCCTCCGGGGAGGAATCGGGATCCCCCCGGGTGGGACCCCGCGGTGGGGCCGGCTCGGTCAGGGAGGGGGGTCGGGGAGTTATTTTTAAGCCAGGTCTATTTTTATAGAGGGGCCAATGGCCAACGAGGTCAGGCAGCAACTTCTCCTGGCAGCTGCCACCTCGGAGAGCTCAAATAATTCCGGGAATTGGGGAAAACACCCCAAAAAAAGCCCCTCTGGAGCAGCCGGGGCTGTTGTGCTCCGGTATGGAACCCGCCCAGAGGCACCGGTTGGGTCCTTGATAAGCCCAGGAATTGTTAATATTTATTAATTACTGTTCAAATTAGGGGTGGGATTGAATTCCAGAGGCTGAGTCACGGGAAGAGGCAGCAGCTGTCCCGGTTTTTGGGTGAAAGGAGGAAGTTTTTGGGTGAAAGGGGAAGTTTTTGGGTGAAAGGGGAAGCTCTTGGCTCGATTCCTCGGCGCGGGGGCCACGTGTTGTTCTCGAGGCTCAGGGTTGCTTTGGCTTGGAAAAGCTGTCACATCCCAGGGGAAAAGTGTCCAAAAGAGCCCCAGGAGCAGCCAAACCTTCCTGGCAGGAAAGTCGGGAAGTGTTTTGCTGATTTTCTTGGGAAAACTGATAATTTCCAAGTGGGTTTTATTGTTGAGATGGGAGAAAACATCCTTAAAACTGGGATTTACCCTCCTGTCCGTCCCCAGCCTGGCTTGACTTCAGCTTCAGCCCAGTATTAACGTCAGTCTTTAATTTCAGCCCAGTTTCACCCTGGTATTAACTTAAAGTTAAGCTTAACTTTAACTTCAACCTGGTGTTAGCTCCCATCCTGCTCAAGTTTAGTTTTAACCCAGTTTAATTTTACCCTGGTGTTACCCTCAGCCTGGTATTAATTTTAACTTCAGTTTAACTCTAGGCCAGTGCTTCAGCCTGGTGTTAAATTCACCCTTGTTTAACTTCAGCTTTAGTCTTGAATAACTTCAGTTTCAGCCCTGATTAACCAACTTTACCTTCAGTTTATTGTTAAGCTCAGCCCAGCCTACCGTTAATGTCACCCAGCATCACTTTCAGCTCCACCTTGCTGTCAACCCACCCTGGTTTAACCCACCCCAGTTTAACTGTGACCTCCCCATCCCGGGTTAACTCCAACTCCAGTTTAACTTGCTGAATCCTCCCCAGCCTCTCCCCCCGTGCCCTAACCCCGACTCGGGGCGTAAAGCCGGGTTTCTGTGCCCTCCCCAGCGGCCTGTGGGTGCTGCTCCGGGTGAAGTTCCACCTGCGGCGGCACCAGCGCTCCCGGGCCACGATCCCGCGGCTCTTCCAGGCCGTGGCGCGGCGGCTGCCAGACAAAGCCGCGCTCATCTACGAGGCCACGGGCGAGCGCTGGACCTTCCGGCGGCTGGACGAGTTCTCCAACGCCGTGGGCAACCTCTTCCAGCAGCTGGGCTTCGGCTCCGGGGACGTGGTCGCCCTGTTCATGGAGTCGCGCCCGGAGTTCGTGGCGCTCTGGCTGGGCCTGGCCAAGGCCGGCGTCGAGGCCGCGCTCATCAACTTCAACCTGCGCCGGGAGTCGCTGGTTTATTGTGTCGCCGCCTCCGGCGCCAAGGCCCTGGTGTTCGGGGGGGAGCTGGCGGCAGGTGAGAGGGGAAGGGGTACAGGAGGGCAGGGGGGGGTTCCTCCGGGTCCTTTCCGTGCTTTTGGGGGGATTTCGTGGATTATCTTTGCCTCCCTAAGGAATGTTGTGTCCGTGGCTTTGTCTTGCAGCGGTCTCAGAGGTCAACGGGATGCTGGGGAAGAAAATGGAAAAGTTCTGCTCCGGGGAATATAACCCGGATCTGGTCCCTGTGGACACCAAACACCTGGATCCGCTCCTGAATTCCGCCCCCAAATCCCCCCCGGCGCAGATCCCGTCAAAAGGCCTGGATGGTGATTGATCCTGGTTTTGATTCCCAGGGCGGTGGGACGGGGAGGTGGCGGAAAACCAGGAAAACTGAGGGATGGAGGGATTAAATCAACCACTCCAAGCTCAAAACTCATGGAATCGTGGAATGGTTTGGGCGGGAAGGGACCTTAAAGCTCATCCCTCAGGAGATTCCAGGATTCCGTGTTTTGGAGTTCATGTCCCTGGAGATCTAAACCAGTCCCAGGACAACCTGCGTGGAGGGATCCGGGTCATGTCCTTGGAGCTCCACAGACCCTTTGGACACATTCCTGTGTCCCTGGGACATGTGGATCCTCTGGGAACCCTCCGGACACGTCCCTGTGTCCCTGCGGTGTTCCGGATGTGTCCAGAGGGGTTTCCCAATCCATGGGGAAGACCCTGACTCCTCTTTTCCCTCTTCCCAGACCGGCTCTTCTACATCTACACGTCGGGCACGACCGGGATGCCCAAGGCGGCCATTGTGGTGCACAGCAGGTGAGGGGGGGCGTGGCTGTGGGGGTGTGGCCAGCAGGGGTGTGGTCAGTGGGTGTAGCCAGGAGGTGTGGCCATGTGGGTGTGGTCAGTGGTGTAGTCAGTGGGGTGTGGCCATGGGGTGTGGCCAGAGCAGACTCCACCGGTGCTGTGCCCGCAGGTATTACCGGATCGCCGCCTTCGGCTACTACGCCTACCGGATGCGGCCCGAGGATGTGATCTACGACTGCCTGCCCCTCTACCACTCAGCAGGTGGGGCTGCTCCTGCCTCCTCCTCCTGCCTCCTCCTCCTTCCTTCTCCTTCCTTCTCCTTCCTTCTCCTCCTTCCTCCTTCACCTTCCTTCCTTCCTTCCTTTCTTCCTTTCCTTCTTCTCCTTCCTTCCTCCTTCCTTTCTCCTCCTCCTTCCTGCCTTCTCTTCCTACTTCCTTCCCTCCTTCTCCTCCTCCTTTCTTCCTTCTTCCTTCCTTCTCCTTCTTCCTTCTTTCTCCTCCTTCCTTCCTCCTCCTTCCTTCCTTCCTTCCTTCCTCCTCCCATCTCCTGTCCTCCCATCTCCCTTCCCTCCCTTCTCCCTCCCTCCCTTCCCTTTCCCCCCAGCAGAGGCGAGGCGTTGTCCCCTCCCACCCCTGCTGCCTCCCTCTCCCCAGGATGACCGGATCCCTCCCTCCGTGCTCCTTGTTTTCCAGGGAACATCATGGGGGTGGGGCAGTGCCTGATCCATGGGCTCACCGTGGTCATCAGGAAGAAGTTCTCGGCCAGTCGCTTCTGGGACGACTGTGTCAAGTATCGCTGCACGGTGAGGGAGCCATGGAATGCCTGCAGGGGGAAAAGCCCTGGAGACCCTCGGCTCCGACCCTTCCCCCTGCGCTGCTGAGGCCACCCCCGGGCCCTGTCCCCCAGGGCCACATCCACACCTCCTCCCATTTCCACCCTCCCTGACCACGGCCAATTCATTCCCACCCAGCATTCCCCCCACTCCTCCCTGGGGTCGATTTCCCCCTTTTCCCGCCCTTTTTAAGGATCACCGGAGGCCTGAGCCGTGTTTCTTTTGCTCCAGATCATTCAGTATATCGGGGAAATCTGCAGGTACCTCCTGAACCAGCCGGTCCGTGACTCCGAGAGCCGGCACCGCGTCCGGCTCGCGGTCGGCAACGGGCTCCGGCCCCACATCTGGGAGGAGTTTACCCGGCGCTTCCGGGTGAAGCAGATCGGGGAATTCTACGGAGCCACGGAATGCAACTGCAGCATCGCCAACCTGGATGGGAAGGTGAGGGCAGCACAGGAAGGGGCACCTCAGGGTCTTCCTCATCCTCTCCCAACGGATCACCGGGAGCTACGTTGGCAATTAGCACAAAAAATCGTGAAAAATCCTAATTTTGGGTGAATTTTGGGGTGAATTTCCAAAATAAAACAAGAGGGAACCCCCTGGAAGCGCTGACACAGAATCCCTTCAGCTTTTTGGGTTTTTTTCCCTGTCTTTTGGAAGGTGGGAGCCTGTGGGTTCAACAGCCGGATTTTGCCCAATGTTTATCCCATCCGGTTGGTGAAGGTCAACGAGGACACCATGGAGCTGATCCGGGATTCCCGGGGGCTCTGTGTCCCCTGTCGCCCAGGTGAGTGACTTGTGTTGGTCCCATAAATGTCAATGATCTCATAGAAGTCAGCATCTTGAGTTGATCCTAAAAATCTTGGTGTCATCTTGTGTAGATCCCACAAGTCGGTCCCACCTTGTGCCATCCCATAACTGTCAGTGTCCTCCTGAATTGATCCCATAACTGTTGGTGTCCTGAATTGATCCCATAACTGTCAGTGTCCCCCTGAATTGATCCCATAACTGTTGGTGTCCTGAATTGATCCCATAACTGTCAGTGTCCTCCTGAATTGATCCCATACCTGTCGGTGTCCTGAATTGATCCCATACCTGTCGGTGTCTTGTGTTGACCGTAAATCCCGTCACCGCCTCGTGTCGATCCCGTAAGCGTCAATCCCATAGATACCCATTCCTGGCATGGATCCCGAGGGTTTGGGGTCACTCCGGGGTCGTTCCCGTTGCTGCAGGAGAGCCGGGGCTGCTGGTGGGGCAGATCAACCAGCGGGACCCTCTGCGGCGCTTCGACGGCTACGTCAGCGAGAGCGCCACGAGCAAGAAGATCGCCCACGACGTCCTGCGCAAGGGGGACCAAGCCTATCTCTCAGGTACCTCCCACCGGCATTCCCGGCTTCCCAGAGACCCAAATCCAGGATTCTCCCCCTTGAGAAACGGGGTGGGGATGCCCCCAAGGTGCTCCCGTTGGGATGGGACCGACGGCCGCGAGGCGTCCTGGGATAAATCAACGGGGAACGAGGCGTCCTGGAACGGTGGCCAGGGATCCCGAGGTGGGCTTTTTGGTGTCTCCTGCTCTTCCCAGGGGATGTGCTGGTCATGGACGACCTGGGATACATGTACTTCCGAGACCGGAGCGGGGACACGTTCCGGTGGCGCGGGGAGAACGTCTCCACCACGGAGGTGGAGGGAGCCCTGAGCCGCATCCTCAACCAGACGGACGTGGTGGTGTACGGAGTGGGAATCCCAGGTGGGACGCCGGGATGGGCCCCCCTGGGACTGGTGGGCCAAGAGAGCAGGTTGGTGTTGGGAATGTGGGAATTCCCATTCCCGCTGTTCCCGTTGCAGGTGTGGAGGGCAAGGCGGGCATGGCGGCCATCGCGG